TGAAGAGCGGAGAGTCGTGGAAAATGCCATAGGATGGGAAGGGGTACGGGCTTCGTGTAGTAAACGGGGAACAGCGGAGCCTGTCCATTCGGTTCCCCTCCGAGTCCGTCTGTCTTAGACATAAGGCTGCCCCTTTCCTCCGGGGGCAGAGAGGGCGCCTCTCACGCAGGGCTCTGTGACCTGCTTCAGGGGAAGGTCAGAAAGTCCTCCCTGCACCTGCCCTTCCTAAATTCCCTCAGCTTAAAATATTCCGGGTTCTCAGGGGCCATATTTGGAGGTAGTGTGTCCTGAACTCCATCAATAGTTGTAAATATATTTAAACATGTCTCCTTGGGTTCATAGCTCTGAACTTGTGTGAATTTCTCTAAGACATGCCCAGCCCTGACCGGTGTGGCTCAGTGGGCTGAGCATCGTCCCACGAAGTGAAAGGTCACCAGTTCGGTTCCCAGTCAGGGCACATGTCTGGGTTGCGGCCCAGTCCCTGGTGGGGGCACGTGTTGGAGGCAACTGATCGCTGTCTCTCGCAAATCGATGTTTCCCTCCTGAGAGTCGTTGCCCGCATTGGCCAGCTTGGGCTGTGTCAAGTCTTTCACTGTTCACTGACCCGCTGACTGGGAAGCGCCCTTTCATTGGGGCTGTAATGTGCATTTTCTTCCCCTTTCCCTGAGGCAGAGCGTCCTTCCCCGGTTAGGGACCACTCAGGTGGCCTCTTCTGTGAAATGCACGTCCCTTACAACGACGTCGACGTCCGTGCTTTGCTTTAACACCCTTCAGCACAGACAGTGAGCACGATGGGGTGGAGGCGCCAGTTACTGTGGCTTAGCTCAGCGTTGGACGTGCAGCCCAAGGATGTGGAGAAACTGGGACCCTCCTGCTTTGCTGGGGGGATGTGACACGGTGCGGCCCCCGTGGGAAACAGCCTGGCGGCTCCTCAGGACAGGTAGACGTGGAATTCCCACATGACCCAGCCATTCCACGAAGTGAAATCAAACGTGCATGCAGAAGCAGACATGCGTGTACGCGTCCCCAGTAGCACTGCGACAGTGGGAGAGTGTCGTGGGAACTGGAACCCACCCCGCATATGCAGCTTGCAGGTAAACAGCGTGTGTGTGTAAGAATCCAAGGAACTAACTTCAAAAGATGCAGGCCCAACCTTCAGGCATCTCAGCTCCTGGAAATTTGCCGACCTTCAACCGTGGAGCCGGGATGACTGAGCCGGGATGACGCGCACGGGACTGTCACCGGCCTTCTCAGAATGGACTGGGCTCGTCTGCACGTGGAGAGCTTTGCAGCCCCTCCCCGATCTCTTTGTCCTGTTCCCCTCTCCCTCTGCCTGCACTGAGAGGAAGGGGTGGGCTCTGAGACGTGAGTCCCCCATCGTCCGGGTGGCCGGTTCCTGAAAATAACCTCCTTTCCTTTACATCGGCACCTGTGTCTCGAGAACTGGCTTTCGCAGCGGCAGGCGGCCAGACCTGCGTCCGGTGACAGCGCTATCCGTACGAGCTAAAAGGTGGAATCACCCCGAATGTCCGTCAAGAAAGGGAAGGATAAACAAATTGTGGTCTATCCATACAGTGGAATACTACTCAGCCATAAAAAGGAATGAAGTACCGACACACTCTACAGCTTGGATGAACCTCAACGTTATTAAAAGCGAATGGAGCCTGGCTTCTTTCAGACCCAGCGGTGACAGGGCCGGAGGCGGGGGTGGTGACTTAGTGGGTTCAGGGTGTTCTTCTGCGAGGGTGGGAACGTTTGACACCTGAGAGGTGATGGTTTGTTGCACAACATAGTGAAGGCACTAAATGCCGCCCAACTGTACACTTCAACAACGGTTAGGTATATGTTTTGTGAATTTTACCTTAGTTTTTTTAAAAAGGAATACACAGGGTTATTAGCCAACATGATGTCAGAAGGTCCCACTCCAGATGTGGCTGATACATCTTTCTGTTATTCATTACCTTGATCAAGAACTGAAGCTTGATTTGCTCATTAGCACAGTGATGTCAGAAATTTCTTTTTTAAGAAAACACGAGTGAATATAATGGCTCGTTGACTAAACTGAGGCATGTTAAGCATAGGCTCTCATGGAGGAAAATGAAAGCATTGTTATTCAAGGTATGGGAATTGCCTGAAACTGTTTAAAATCCCTCCCTACCCGCAGTGCACAGGACAGGAGCACCCAGCAGAGCTGCAGCCTGACCCTAAGGCTTGATCTTTACTGGACCAGTTTCCAACCACGGACTTAGCAGGACTTCTGGCTGGTTGATGCTGATTGTAAATAAGGCAAGGAATTTGGTGCCTGGGATGTGTGCCTGCCTCTGGTGAAAGGGTCTGAGACCATGGGTCTTGCAGAATCTGCTGTCAGAGCTGCTTCACCCCCTCTGCTTGTTAGGAATGTCAGGCTGATAGCTTCCTGCTCCCTCCGGCAGAATTTGACCTGAAGCTGGCTCTCCTTACAATGTGGTAACGAGATGGTGGGGGAATAGTTAACACCCACCCCAAACTTCTTCAGCCCACAGAGCAGCACCGTCTGAGGGCTGGGCTGGATCTGACCGGGCAGGCAGTTTGTGGAGATGCCCAGACCCGCCGCCCCATTTGTCATCAGTTTATCTTTCTGTTATTACTTTGTAGGAGCTGTTCACACGATTCTAGATTTTTTTCCTTTTTTGTATTTATTGAAGACATCTTCTTTCAGTTAACACATTAAATCTTTTACTATTTTTCTTTGGCATGGGCTGCTCTTAAAATGAAACTGTAAATAGGTTTGTTAACACCGAAGATTCCAGAAGACCCAACCCCCCGCCCCCGCAATCTCAAGACCCAGTCACTGGTCCTTTGGTCCTTTGCCTACACCCTAATTCAAACACCAGCCAAACCCTTCGGCCGGCGGAGAGGGCCCCAGGCCCAAGCCTGAGGGCGGGGCTCCGGTGGTGGTGTGATCTGCGTAAGAATACGGGGAACCTGGGGGGTTTCTGAGAGGGAGGGCTGAGGGTGGAGAGGAGGAGGGAGGGGGAGAGAGAGAGAGAGAGAGAGCGCGCGCGAGAGGAAGCTCTGGACTGCTCGGCCAATTTGGAGTGGGTTTGGAGTGGAGAAGCCAGGTTTTGTAAAAATCAAAATAGAAGTCATCGGTGCGGCAGCGGCAGGATTCCCAGGTGTCTCCGCACCACACTGACCGGTGCAGGCTTTTGAAATCCTGAAGGGCTGAGCTGCTCCTCTGCACAGCAGGGAGGTGGGTGGGGGCTGTGAGGCACCCCCCTCCCGCCCCCGCCCTGCCCCCAAACTGGCTTAGTCAGCACCCAGGGGGAAGGCCGGAAGGCACAGAGCATGCCCTGGGGCTGGAACTCCTTTCCTGCTTCCCCAATCTGAGCCTGCACCTGTACTGTGCCTCCAGCAAGAGGTGACTCAACACCTCCGAGGTGCTTCAGGTGCCGTTGGCGATCACCACGTCCTTGTGCATCCTGTGGGAGGTATCATCTCTGCTGTGTATGTAAGGAAACGGGAGTTCAGAGAGGTTATGGAATTTATTCAAAGTCACACAGCTGCTGAGGGACAGAGCCAGGATTTATACCACCCCGCCCCACCTCTGCCCCCCAACAGAGGCTCCCAGCCCCGTCTGAAGGGAAGAGCCAGAACAGTTTATTATTATTAGAGCCCAAAAGGTTATCTTGTTCTGTGCTTTATGTAAAGAGTGTCAAAGAACGTGGGGCATTCAGTGCAGTGGAACATCCCCAACCCTCTCAGGGGAGGCTGCCGTAAGCAGGCCGAAGGGGCGGTCCAGACCAGAAGGAGCGGAGGCCAGAGATAAGGCCCGGCAGGGGCTCCCCAGCAGCAGAGCCGCTGACCCAGCTGAGGGTCAGAGCGAGGCACCAGCGGCCGCCCGTTGTTGTCCCTTCGTGCCGCGTTGTCCGGGAGGACAGCCACCGGCCACACGTGGCTACTGAGAACTGCCAACGTGGCTCGTCTGAATTGGGATGAGCTGTAACTGAAACACCCCCCCCCCCCAAATTTTGAAGGCTTGGTATGAAATAAATGAATGTAAAATATCTCGTGAATATTTCTATATTGATTACATGTCAAGATGATGACACTATCTGGCAGGTAGTGGGTTAAAGAAAATGTATTAAAATGAATTTCACCTGTTTTTCTCTTTTTTTTTTTTTACTTTTTAAAATGCAATTACTAAAATATTTAAAATACAAAACTACAGGTAAAATTACACTTTTGAGTTCTGTTGGATAGCACTGTTTTGGACCAATTCCTCCTGCCTGGGCGAGGGAATGAAAGACGGAGGGACAGAGGGTGGGACCAGGAAGAGAAAGGCACTAATGCCGAGCCCAGCTGACCTTGAACAAGGCGGTGGGGGAGTGAGTTTGGGGGGCCAACCCCCTTGCAGTTGAAAGTCCATGAATAACTTTTGACTCCCCAAACTTAATTACTGTTAACTAGATGCTTTACTGATAAACATAAAACAGTCAATTTACACATAGTGTGTTACATGTATTATATGCGATATAGTTCTATAGTAAGGCAAACTAGAGAAAAGAAACTTATTAAGAAAATCATAAGGAAGAGAAAAATACGCTGACTGCATTAATTGGGAAAAATCTCCATGTAAGTGGGCTGCGCAGTTCAGACCTGTGTTGTTCAAGGGCCAAGTGTCCTCCCGCTCAGCAGAGACCTACCTGCCTTTCACGCAGGAAGGATGGCAGCGGGTGGAACCAACTCTGCGGGCGGAACCGGGAGTCTGGGGACTTAGCGTGGGGAGGACGGGCTCCCAGGGTGGGAAGAAAGTGGAATGGGGATTGTCTTCGGACGGGCAGGCCAGGCCAGGGTGGCGGGAGGGTCTGGCTTGCCCCCCACTACCTGCTAAAAGAGAAAGGCTAGAAAACCCATTTAGAGATTGCTCCCGGCTGCCCCTGCAGGGTTTCCAAGCAGAAACCAGAAAAAGACCTGAACCTTGCCGGCACGGAGGCGTCCCTGGAGAAAAGGAAGACGCCATGGGCGGCCTCTGGGGAGAGCCCGAGGGGCAGAGGAGGAGGGAAGCAGTGCGGCTGCCCCAACGCGGGGAGGAATTTCTCCGGCGGCTGCGCGGGTCCTATTCCGAGCCGGGCCGCGGCTTGGCGCCCTCGCCGCATGCTGGTCATCGTTTCAGTGGCCCTGACCCCATAAGGCTTGTCCTTGCCCGCTTACCCATCGAATCAGATTGTTCAGTGGGGAGGTTAAAAAGATTGTATTTGATACCTTTATTCCAAAACTTTAACATTTTCACTAATACCTCTAAAGAAATAACCGGCCCCCCATGAGACCTTTATAGACGCCCACAATCCCTGCAGGACCTACTGCTGCGTGTCCTACGCGGACAGGCCCGCGCGGGCCCGAGCCTCCGGCTCCCGCAGCCGGGCGCCCCCAGCCGGGCGCGCGCGCAGACTCCCGGGGTCAGCAGCCCCCGAGGCGGCCAGAGCGGAGTCGTGCCGGGCAGGGGCAGATCGGTGTTTACTAGACATTTCTCAACGCTTGGCTGATGCAAGAGCCGCCCGCATTAGCCTTCCTTGGGGAGAATGACGACTCTACTTATTTTTACCCTCTTGTTAAAAGTCCTGAATTACTTCTTTAATTCAAATCTCCTTTTTCTCCTCCTTCTGCGTGTTTCGCAGGAAAACCCGGAGCCCCTGAAGCTACGCTGGTGTCTCTTCCAGGACCGCCTGAGTTTCGTCTCGCTCCTTGCCCTCTTCTCTGTTTGCTTCCTTGTTTTTAATATTTTCAGTATGTTTTGCAAACATTTCTTTTGAATGCCTGTTTGAAAAGCGGCTCCACTCCCCGCCCCGCGCTCCCTGCGGGCGCCTCCCACCCTGAAGCCGCAGGACCGGCGGGTGCCGCCCTGACTGGTGGGGGCACGCGGGTGACACCCGGGGCGCTTGGCTCTCCCTTGTCTGGGCGCGAGCGCCCCCAGTCGGGGCGTTTCTGGGGGACGAGAAAGGAACCGCCCGAACAGTCGTGAAGCTTCTTCCCGCTGCTGCGCCCCCGGAGCGGGCGCGGGCCGCAAGGTCCGAGGTGGTCGGAGATCCGGAGCCTCGGGGAGGGGCGAGAGGGCCGCGGTCCGGGACGCGCAGACACCTGCGGCTTCTGGAGAGGCGGGCGGTCCCCAAGCCCTGGCTCCTCCTTAAAGCCTCGGCTCCGCCCTGCCCTCCCCCGTCCCTCGCCCAAGGTTCCACCCAACCGCCGGGTCCCCGCCGCCCGGGCAGAGCGTCGCGGAGCCGCGAGCCTGTGAGGAGCGCGCCGCCCGCCGAGTCCCCGCGCCGGGTCCCGAGTCCCCGCGCCCCGACCCGCCGCTATGGCCAGCGAGGAGCTGGCACGCAAGCTGCAGCGCAGGCTGCAACGGGGGCAAGCGCAGGAGGGCGGCCCGGAGCCCGCATCCCGCGCCGCGCCAGCGGGGGAGCCCGCGCCCGCACCGGAGCCGCCCGCCCGCGCGCCCACTGCCAGCGCGGACGCCGAGCTGAGTGCCCAGCTGAGCCGCCGGCTGGACATCAACGAGGGCGCGGCGCGGCCCCGCCGCTGCAAGGTCTTCAACCCCTACACCGAGTTCCCGGAGTTCAGCCGCCGCCTCATCAAGGACCTGGAGAGCATGTTCAAACTGTGAGTGCCGCCCTGCGCCGTGCGCCCCGAGGGCCCTGCGCCGGGGACATGGGAGCGAGGGAAGGGAGAGGCGGCGGTGGGTCGGTCATTCGGGCCGGGATCCCCAGGCCCGGGTCTGGGGGAGCAGGGCGGGGTAGGCGGGGGTGTCGGGGGTGCCCTTGGCTCTTGACGCAACGCTCCAGATCCTGCGCGTCCCGAGCATATGCCGGCGCGGTCGGGGACCCGGCCGGGCTCGGGGCACCTAGAACAAGACCCGCAGACCCAGCTCAGAAGTTCCCCCGGGACAGCCGAGCCCGAGTCCCGGGTCTCGGGCTCCAGGGCTCCGGGGTGGCGACCGCAGGTCCCGCCCCCTGCGCCGTCTGGTTCCGAGATTTGCTCGGGACACAACTTCTAGGAAACGGAGACGCGCCGCGCCTCGTCTGCCAGCGCGTGTCTCCCCAGGGAGAAATTAGCCGCGTTGTCCTTTATCTTTTAAAATAAAAGGGGAAACGTTATCCTCGGCTGCCGCGCGGGGTCTGATGGACCAACAGAGGCTGAGACCTGGGAGCTGGTTAAACTCTTCGCAGAAGATCAGGACGTTCCTGAATCGAGCAGGTCCCGGGAGCCTCCCGGGGGCGTCGCCTTGCCTGTTGGCGCCCGTCGGAACCGGACGCGGCAGCTGGCAGCCGGTCCCTTGGGGGCTCATTGCTGCTCTGCTGGGTGGGCCCTACCAGGCGGGCCCTGCCAGGCGGGGGAGTCAGCGCAGAGCCCCCGGTAGTCCGGCCTGATAACCTGGGGGCCCCCGGGGCCTCAGTTTCCTCATCTGAAGAGTGGGAGCAGCAGTCATTCCTGCCTTTTAAGGCCGTAAATTATTTTGCACACCGTCAGCTCCTAACAGAGCTATTAATATTATTTCCAGAATATGGCTAAGACCAGAAAAATGCCCCAGGGACCAGAGGCTGCCGGCCAGGTCATGCTTGGGGCGTTTTAAAATGCGCTTGGAATGTTTGTCCTCTGCGTGGAGGTTCTATTTAAGGGTGCTGTGTGGCCGGTGTGTGCGCAGGGGCCTCAGCCCCTGCCTGAGGCTGGGCTGTGGTCCAGAACGGCCCCTGCGAGGAGGTCAGTGGAGACTGGAACCCCGAGTCGATGGCGCCTCCTCTGCTCGACTTCCCAGGCCCTGGCTTCGGGGCACTGTTCTCTGGTGTTCACACCTGGTGGGGCTAGTTTGGGCCGTTCAGGAAAGCAGAGTTTGCGCAAAAGAATACCCGAGAAGGGGCAGAGGTGGGAGAGCGATCAGTGGGCGGTGTGTTGCTGCCCCTTTCACTTGTTTGGGGGAGATGGCTTTTCATGGGAAGGCCAGCAGGTTCCCGCGTCCAGCTGGACGGCGTCTGGGGGCCTTCAGGTTGCTTTGCAGTGATTCGGGTTTCATTTACTTATTTTTATTACTACTATATTTTTTTTCCTGCAGAAAAGCCTTTGGGAGGATCATTTGTTCGTTAGTTGGCTGCCTAAGAGTAACAAAGGGAGTCCCCACAGTGACAAGGTCCTGCTGTCAGGCATGGCTGGATCTAGGTGCTCAGATGATGCCATCTGGGCTTAGTTTCCCTTTTTCTTAAGCCAACTGCCTCTCTGTGGTCCAGGTCCAGACCCTCCCCTTGCCCCACCCTGCCCCGCCTTCAGGCTGCCTGGATCCTATAAAAATGGATTTCTGGGCCCGGAGCCCTGGGCTTCGGAAAACTCAGCATCCTTTAGTGGAGCTCATTGGTTTTCCCCTCAGGGTTTCTCCCAGCTTCCCACCCCAGGAGGCAGCCGAAACCCCGCGCTCCCTACCCAACCAGTGTCAGGGGCTCCTCTGCTGGGAGGTTTTGTCATTGGACACCTCTAGTTTTAGGGTTCATCCACTCTCGGTGCCCGGATCATGGCAGGACTCTAGTTGAGGGACACACCCGTCCTCTAATGAAGGGACCCTGACCGTACCAGGCCTGGGCAGGCGGCAGCAAATCCCCAAATGCCAAGCCCCACAGCAGCAGCCTTCCCAGGCAGGAGGGGCCCACAGCCTGCCCCAGGCTGGGCAGGGGCAGGAGGGCGCAGGGGTCCCCCTGTGCTGATAGGCTGAGGCAAGGGCTGGCCGCTGGGGGGGGTGCTCGAGGTGGCAGGAAATCAGGGAGCCCCGGGGTGGCAGCCGGTGCTGCTCTGAGCTGGTGACCGCAGGCATATCGGGGCTCTGCCTTGATAGTCACGTGGTGTCCTCTGTGTGCGTGTGTGTGTTTCACATGGACTTCCTGTAAGGACACACTAGTGGTTGGATTCAGCCCCCCCCCAATACGGTGTCACTTCATCTTAATTTATTACCTCTGCAAAGACTCTATTTTCAAATGAGGTCCCATTTGGAGGTTTTAGATGGCCACGAATTTGGAGGTCCCTATTCAACCCATCACTCTGAGTGGGCGGAGATGCCTAGGCCATGGGACACCACGACTGTCTCCTCTCCCCCTCCTGGAGGGCAGGGGGCAGGTCCTTCCAAGGAGGCCCTCAGATTCAGGAACATCACACTCTTAGCCAGCTCAGGCTCTCTCGGTGAGTTAGGTGAGTTAGGCACGTCAGGGACCGCACCAAAGCCAGGATGACCCCACCCCCATTGAAGGGGCATCAGGCTCCCCAAAGCCCAGCCCCATCCAGATGGAGTCGCCAGCGGAGTGGGAAAGGAAGCCACGCCAGCAGAGCCCCCACCCCCGCTGGTGCCAGAAGTGCCATTACCTGCAGCGAGAATTTCACTTTTAATCAGTTCCTAGATCCAGATTCTGATGTCGCCTTTGGAGTTCACTCAGAACCTGACTTGACCGGTATAGAGCGCACTCGTTCTTTTGTTTGGGGCTAGATGGATTCATGCCGATACTGCCAAACGCGCTTTGATCTCTTAAATGTGATTTCTTGTATTGAAAAGTAATTTGCCTGGGGATTTCTTACATTTTCAAGATAAAAAAAAAAACAACAAAAAACCTGGATCCTCCCCGGCCTGTGAGCATATTGGGTTCCTGAGGTTGGGAGTGGGGGGGGGGGGCGGTCATTGGTCTTTGTGTCCTGGCTCCTCAATGGTGAGTTGTAGAAGAAAGAATTTTCTAATGAGTGTGGGAAGCCAGAGGCGGCACCGGCTGGGCCAGAGAAAGTTCCCTCTCCGTTTCCAAGTGTGTTACTGGATAGCCCGCGCCTGCAGAACAGTGGCCTGATTTTCAGCGAAGGGTGAGAAGGCCCAGGAGAAACTGACTCTGCAGGGCCCGTCCAGGAGTGTAACGCGAGCTGGCGGAGTGGTCAAGGTTAGACAGGAAATTTCAATTACCGCGGCGCTTATCCGGGGGCCTCTTTCAAGGGGGAGGTAACGAGGGCAGCCACTTAAGGGCAGGACCCAAACGCAGCATCTGAAAGTGCAGCTGTGATGTGTTTGCCGCATTTTAAAAGCTTGTGTTTCAATTCCCCAAAGAGAGGGTGGGAAGAGGAGCATTTGGCTATGGGAAAGCTGTCTTTTTATTAAGAATCCGAAGTGATGATGTCATGGACGCCCTGCCAACACCCAAAGGCCACGACGCCGCTGAACCCCAGAAAGACGAGGTTGTCCTGGAACGTCACTTCTGGTCCCTCTCCTCCACCCACCTCCCTCCCGGCTCCTTTTTCTCCTCCCTAGTCTGCTCCCTAAGGGTGGGAGGAAGGGGGTGTAGGAATTTGCTGAAGATGTGAAAGGAGCCTTTTTAAAGGAGGTTTGTACTGGGGGAGGTAGAGGGGAGGCATGCGCCCACTCTCATTACTATCTTTTGAGTGAATTGACTTGAAAGAGGAGAAGGGAGATGCAAATAAATGGAAGCTGAGTGCTCGTCCCTCCCTTAGAGAACAAGCACTTCTGACCGTCCTGGAGCTGCAGTCCACGGGGGTCCCCTCAGGCCTGCAAGCCCCTCGCCTGCGCTGCACTTGCACATTGGCCTGTTCTGGATGGGCGGGGGGGGGGGGGGGTGCTCTGGCAGGACCCAGGCTGGCTTGGTCTCCGGCAGAAAGGTGGCGTGACTTGGAATTCTTTCTTAGCCCGGTGTCTGCTCAGGTCAGTTTTTCTTTGCCAGCATGTGTGGTGACCACGATGTGGGAGGAGCTCAGGAGGTTCACAGAGCCTGGCGCTTCTTTTTCTTTTAAGATTTTATTTATTGACTTTTTTAGAGAGAGGGGAAGGGAGGGAGAGAGGGAGAGAAACATCAACATGTGAGAGATACATCGATTGGTTGCTTCTCGCACGCCCCCAGCTGGGGAACCTGGGCCACAATCCAGGCACATGCCCTGGCTGGAAATCGAACTTGCAACCTTTTGGTTTGCAGGCTGGCGCTCAATCCACTGAGCCACACCAGCCAGCGTGAGCCTGGCATGTTTGTCTTTGCAGGAGTTTTCTCCCTCCTCACAACTCTATCAGAAGTCTCCTCCACCCTCCTTATTACAGAGCCATGTCATTTTCTGGGAATTTGAATGATGGGAATTTGAAATTGAGTGAGTTATTAAAGCCTTACATATGCCCTCCCCCCAAAAAAGTCCCTTCCCCCTTCTCCCTTGAAAAATTAGTTAACAAGTGCCCAGTTTCCAGGCTGTGTGGGCGAGGGAACTCTAACTGTATTTGTATCCTGAGGCCCGTGGTCCTCCCCACGCCTGCCCCAGTCTAACCAGGAAATAGAAATACCTTTTCCACTGAGTTTGGGAGGGGCTGGTTTACACAGAGCTGCTCTGCGCTGGGTTTCACGCGTGCCCGAGCCAGTGGGTCTGTGAAGACCTGCCAAATGCATCGGGTCTTGGGAGCTGGCGACCGCCAGGCCGCTCTGACCCGGGAAGAGATGCCGCGGGCAGGGGCCGAGCACGCCTACTAGGCTTTGGGCGTCCTCGCTCTCGGCGCTCTGTTTCATGGGTGCGCCTGGTGCGTGCAATGCTCATGCGTGCCTCCACGCGTCCCCTCGCCTACCTCTCGCATGCCCCCACATCTTGCAGTCCTCCTGGAA